TTTATTTTGGAGAAATTTAGGAAACCCTGACTCGTTTGCCTAAGGCCACGTGTCCGTCATCACCAAAGTTGCCTCGGCCGGGAACTTGGGTACAATTGGGAAGGTCACTTCGTGAGCACCCCCGCTCGCCCGATCAAAGATCGGCCTCTACTAACCATGATATCTATTTTTGAAAAACATTGTGTGTTTCTTATTCCGGTTATTAGCCTAGATTTACTATGTGATGCGCACAGCATACAAGTATAGACTGGATCGCCTGAATTGGAACAAAACATTTCATGTTTGTTTTTGAAAGATGGTTTGATGGTGCTACTTGCAAGTAAGCTAAGACGTGGATTTTCCACCTCGGGTGGGCTTAGAAAATATGATTTTGCCACTATCTAGTGGGCTTAAACACACATTTGATGAATTGTTCCAATCCAAATAACCCAACCTTCACCCACAGGCATTCAGGCAGTTATATCACATAAGCAATTACCTCATGGTAAGCATGCTATTCATGGCAGTCACTCACACGCATGCAAGGATGCTAAAGCATAAAACTTACCGAGTACTCCAAGCCAAAACAGAAGCTAATTAGAAATCCATACATGATCCTAATTATACAGAAATGCCTAATGCAACACATGCAAAAATGCAACTATAGCAGGCTCGGCTATTCTAAACATGGCATATGAAATGCTACAGCTAACATGTATTCAATTTGGAATTGAAAATACAACGCAGATGAATGAATGCAAACAGATGAATGAATGCAAACATGCTATCATACTGTATGCTAATTGAAATATGCCCTAATCTAACCATCATAAGTAGGTAAATAAAAGGGAGAAAGACGTGGGGTTAGAAGACATGCATCACACACACGCACACTTATTACAGTTGTGCCCTCGCACGAAGGGTCCGAATAAAATAATATACAGTCCCAAATGAATATTACAGTCCAAATATGTTACAAAACCCTAGTTAATTACCAAATTAACTAAGAAAACAATAAAACTGGCATGCAACCAGGGACTGCCTTGACTCTTCTCCGGATGATGAATGATGCATGCTCGGGTTGCCTTTGCACGGAAATCCACTGCGATGCCCCAATTAGCCTCTATTTTGCAATGATTTCTTGGAAAGCGCGCCAAGCCCCGGAAGACTGCTGATTCTTGATTTGCTGCAACAGAGAGCGGAAAAGGGCATGGCAATGTATTTTCACAAATGTATGCATCGATCGATCCTCGTGCCACCAATCACGCATCTCGATGCATAATGGCCGAGGAGTCGAATTGTGCAACTCAATATAAAATGAATGCACATGAAAACAAAACAAAACCTAGACTCCATCATGGATAATCCGGAGTGTTAGCGACTGGGAATTGAGACACGTTCCGTCACTCGGAGTACGAAACGTACCTCGTTTCCCGTACCTTGGCTAATTCCTTTCCCAAGCACAATGCAATATGCATGATATGCATGAAATGCGACTAAGATACAACCTAACATACACGATGCTATGAAATGGCATATCACGATGCACGAGGTAACATGGCATACACAATGCGCTAACATACAACCTAGCATACGCAATGCTATGAAATGAAATGGCATACACAATGCATAATGGACTTACACCAACATGAGTGGACCTCAGCCACACTCACATAAGAGGCCATGAGATGAGAATGAGACTCTCGAAGTACGTGCACGCATGCACGCAAACCGAGGACCGACCCTAAGGCACCAAATGCCACTCTAACAAGACATGGCAAAGCATGAAATATGGCATACTAGCATGCAAATTTCAACGCTAAAATATGACCCGAAATAGCCCCGAATCATGACAAAATAGCACCCGATGCATGAAATGGTCCCGAAATGCAAGATTAAGCACATGAAATGACTTGTAGCTACATCAAGCATGCATTATTTGATCATGATATGTGAAGACAGATTCAAGGCAGCCCCAAAAAAAGCATGTTTACAGTTTTAGATGAGGCCAAATAATGAACACAAATGGGGCTAAACTAGCATGCAAAAATGGCCCTAAATGTGAGGTAATGAAGCAAGTCACAGCTGCTGGTCCCAAACAGCTGAGGGTCCCTCAACATGTTGAATAGGGGCCCAAAACTGATATTTTCCAATTGGTGGCCAGACCCAAAACAGTGTACAAGAATGCTCAAAATGCTATGCAAAATAAGGCCAAAAAGAGAGTTATAACACAAAGTATAAAAAGGATGCCTCAAACAAAAAATGACCCTTAATAAAATATGAAGAGGGGGTAAAAATAAGGCTGTTTTCAGTTCAGACCAAAGTCCAAAAACAGAACCACAAGAGGCAAATAAATCATGCAAAAATGGAGCCAAAAAAGGGATATAAGGCAAGTGGAAGATAGAAGCCTCAAACAGTGATGAGCCCTTCAAAAACATTGAATAAGGGCTCAAAATAAGCCACTTTACAGTTTATGACATGCCTCAAAACAATTTATACATAGGCCAAAAATACTACACAAGATAATGGCATACAAGGGAGGTAATGAAGCAAGTGCAACAAGGAGGCCTCAAACAGTGAGAGGCCCTTAAAAAAACATGAAAATACCTCAAAATAATGCTATTTTTAGTTAGGGTTGGAGCCCAAACAGCAAGCAAGTATGGCTAATATTATGAGCAAAAATAGGCAAGAAAGATGGAGAGGAAGACTTACCCTTGTAGCCTATGTCTTCAACAACTCTTGGCTTGAGTTTGGTGGCTCCTTAGCTCTGAAAAACAGCCTCAAGCTGCTGGTATGGAGTATGGAGGCCTTGTGCTATGAGGTGTAGTGTAAAATGGTGTAGGATTTGAAGGATTTTGGTGCTTGGAAGAGAAGGAGAGGGAGGATCAATATAGGAGGCTCAAAGCAATTTTTTGTAACCCTCAAACCAGCAGCTGGAGCTGCTGTTATATAGACAAAAGAAGGGAAAAAAAGGGGGGGGGAATGGAGGGAAATGAATCAAGTTTCCCTCAAAAGGGCCAAACCCTCGGACATGGGTGAAGTGTAAAACAAAATACATGGCTAGAATGTACTTGGGACAAGGATCATGGCCGGCTAGTTTAAATGGGCAAAAAAAAATCCACTAGAAAAATGTGGCCGGCCGACTACTTTTTCTGACAAAATAAGCTCAAAAAGAGGGAAAAAGTGGCTCACCCTTGAAGACCAAACTTTTGCAACCTCTTGGCCTGAGAAAAGGTGCCTCCTAAGCTCTGAGAAGATCCTCCAAGCTCCTGGAATGGAGTGGTGGTATGGTGCTATGTGATGGTGTAGAAATGGGTGTAGGATTTAAGAGGTTTGGAGGGTTGAAGTGTAGAGAGAGAGAGATACAACCCAAGAGGCTTAAACAAAATTTTCTAACCCCCCAAAACCAGCTGGGAGTGCTGGTTATATAGACAAAAAGGGTGGAAAAGAGGGGGAAAAATGGGGACATGCATCACACACACGCACACTTATTACAGTTGTGCCCTCGCACGGAGGGTCCGAATAAAATAATATACAGTCCCAAATGAATATTACAGTCCAAATATGTAAAAAAATCCTAGTTAATTACCAAATTAACTAAGAAAACAATAAAACTGGCATGCAAGCCAGGGACTGCCTTGACTCTTCTCCGGATGATGAATGATGCATGCTCGGGTTGCCTTTGCACGGAAATCCACTGCGATGCCCCAATTAGCCTCTATTTTGCAATGATTTCTTGGAAAGCGCGCCAAGCCCCGGAAGACTGCTGATTCTTGATTTGCTGCAACAGAGAGCGGGAAAAGGGCATGGCAATGTATTTTCACAAATGTATGCATGCCTTGATCCTCGTGCCACCAATCACGCATCTTGATGCATGATGGCCGAGGAGTCAAATTTCACGACTCAATATGGAATGCATGCACATGAAGACACAATGAGACCTAAACTCCATCATGGGTAATCCGGAGTGTCGGCAATTGGGAATTGAGACACGTTCCGTCACTTGGAGTACGAAACGTACCTCGTTTCCCGTGCTCGGGCTAGCACCTACCCTAAGCACAATGCGATATGCATGACATGCATGAATGCAATTCTAACATGCAACCTAGCATACACAATGCTATGAAATGACATACACAATGCACGAGATAACATGGCATACACAATGCGCCAACATACAACTTAGCATACGCAATATTATGAAATGAAATGGCATACACAATGCATAATGGACTTACACCAACATGAGTGGACCTCAGCCACACTCACATAAGAGGCCATGAGATGAGAATGAGACTCTCGAAGTACGTGCAAGCATGCACGCAAACCGAGGACCGACCCTAAGGCACCAAATGCCACTCTAACAAGACATGGCAAAGCATGAAATATGGCATACTAGCATGCAAATTTCAGCGCTAAAATATGACCCGAAATAGCCCCGAATCATGACAAAATAGCACCCGATGCATGAAATGGTCCCGAAATGCAAGATTAAGCACATGAAATGACTTGTAGCTACATCAAGCATGCA